GCTCTATTTTTTCTATGCATGGCCGGCCAAAGTGGAGAAGGAGAGAGAGAAAAATAAATCCTACCCCTTGTACTTTAGTCCACTCTCTTAAGTCCTTTGAATCAGGTAAAAAAATCATACTGACTGTAAAGGGTACTTAGCTGACAGGAAATTCTTGTTTCTGACAGTTCTCTTTTTTTTTTCTACTACTTATTTACAGTTCAACTTTTAAATCCTCGTATGCTTTGATATCACCTTAAATTCTTACTCGCCTAATATCTTAAACTGTTTCAAGTCTTGAAATTAATTTTAGACTGAATAAATTCTAAATTTAACTTTTCTGCATTATATCCCGGGAGTGACATTATTTCTGACGGTGTCAACTCTTTAGCTCACATTGTACCCTTCTACTATAGGTATCTATCTTGTGACTTTAACCTAGCTGTCTGGCAATTAAGGATTTTCTCTTTTTTTAAAAATGTCAGTGCGTTTTTTTTTACGCTGCTAACATCATGCTGTGTTTGGAGATTCTTGAAATTAAGATTCTCAAACTATACTTGTACTGAAAATTATTCCGCCTTAAAGTACGGCAAGAATTTATCGATCGAATTTACTTGATCGAAAACATGAACTTAACATGAAATCTGCTACAGAATTTAGGAACACATATATTGATTCCATAAATCCTTCAGTCACATAATATTTTCTAGAAAAATCCTTGACTTAAATAAATAAATTGTATTATTTAAAGTCTGGAATTTTCTCAGTCATTACAGTTTTAATTAGATGTTGGAAGAGGAAAGAAGGGAAGACGCCGTGAAAGCCATCGTATACGAAGCGATGGCGAGGGTGCGAGATCCTGTCTGCGGGAGTGCAGGGATTATTTTCCATTTGCAGAAGATGGTGCATGAACTCAGATCTCAACTGGAAACGACAACGGCTCAAGTGTCGGAGCTACGAGCACAAAGAGATCAGTTGCAAGGCATTCTTATGAATGCTCATGTGGACCCACTTTTTTATGCCCACAATAGAACATCACAAGATGATCATCAAACAATCGCCTACGATCCCATGATGATCAGTTTTCCTAATTTAGATCAGATGGAACCATTTAATATGTAAGGTTTATATGACATTGTAACGCCCTTTAGAATTAAACATGTTTAATTATGTTAATTGTGTATATTAGTGTGTCTAAAATTGATTTTTTCAGATTAATCTTGTGATTAAAGTTAAGTTTTCGAGTTATTTTAAGTACTTATAAATTACTTTCAGTTTTTTAATTTTCACCTCAAAAGTTTTTAAAAATACACTTAATTTTAAATGTATTTTTATTTATTTATTTATTTTTCCCTATTTCTTTTCTTTTCCGTTTTTGTTCTTTCTTTTCTTTTTCTTTTTTCCCCGTCCTTTTTCCTCTCGTGCACCCCCTCCCCCAGACCCCTCTCTCTCTCTTTCCTTTCTTTTTTTTTCTTCTTTCTTTCCTCTGGTTCACCAACCACCGCATCTCTCTCTCTCTCCTTTCTTCTTCCACGCCGGCCAGCCACCTCCGGGCTCTCTCTCTCTCTCCCATCGGCTGTCTCTCTCCGGTTCTCTCTCCCTTTTTCTTGTCGTTTTTCCCTCTCTCTCTTTCGGCAGTTTGGCTGAGACACACAGGAAAAAAAAACGAATGAAAATGGGAAAAACTGAGGGAGACAAAGCTCCATCAACTGATTTAAGGTAAAACCTTTTGAAACCCACTCTTTGATTCGAATTTTAAGCTTGAGAAAGTTTGATTTTTGTTAGGTTTGAAATATTTTAAGTTAGGGTTTGGATTTGAACAATTGTTGTTGAAATTGATTGAAATTTATAGGTTTTCAGTTATTGGACTTGTTTAGTTGATTGGAAACTGATTTTGATGGATTCTGGAGAATATATTTTGAAATTGAACTTGAATTACAGGTTTGACATTTTTCCTATTTATGCCGGCATGCTGCTGAAATTTCTTTAAAAAGTTATTTTTAAGCTGAAATTAAATAGGAAACCAAACTCATGGATTGGATTTCAATCTTTAAAGAACCCCTAAACTGATTATAAAATCATTTGTGAAACTTGGATTTGATTCAAGGCACATTAATAGGAAACAATTAAACATGATTGAGCTTAATTCGTTTTAGGAATGAGAAATACTTCCTAATATATTGCTTTTGTGATAAAGCTAGTGGAGAAGGTCAAGTATTAAAGCTTTAAGGGAAGCGGAGGCTAGGAGAACGAAAGGCTAGCCCAGGTTTGATATCCGAGAGGTAGGATATTCTTGTCCATATCATTGTTAGCCTCACTTTAAATGATTTTGGCCAATGGGAAATGAGATTTTAAAGAGTATCATTTTTTAAAATGAAATATCTTAAGAAATGATATAAAGCATGGTGGCCTCAGAGATCGGAATGTGAGAATCGCATCCTTGGGGGCAGGTCCCAAAACCCGTACAGATCCATTTCTTACTTAGTGGAACTATGGCTCTGCACTTTTTACTAGACAGACATTTTACCGCTACTTGTTCAGTGGTATGATGAGCTACACCCTTTCATTATACAGACATTTTCTACTATGTGAGTATTTCTTTTTTTTTTTTTTAAAAGGGATGATCGGTTCCGGGTGTATATCTTCGGACCGTGAGTACCTTTATTTATAATGTTTTATAAAATTATATGATCGGTTCCGGGTGTATGTCTTCGGACCATGAGTACCTTTATTTAAAATGTTTTATAAGATTATATCCTATTGGGCCTTCCGCTCACCTTTATTATGTTTTTAATGTTTTAAACCCCTCCTCCAGAGTTAGCGGTTTAGATATACAGCGTTACAAGTGGATGCCAATGAATTGAAGGTGTGAGATTCGAAGCGGTACGTTTGTTTCAGATTTATAGTTTTAAATTCTGAGATGTACTGTATTTCTGTATGTAAACTGTATTGGTCGACATTGTCCCAGAGTTGTACTATTTTTCTTGGACTTTATGGAATGTTTTAAATATTATTTGTGAAAGAAAGTCTCCGGAGCAAACTATATTGATATTTATGTATTTATTTTTGTGATTTTACTAAACAATCCAGTTTAATTAAGTTAAATTTTAAATTAAACCCCAATAATCACGGCCATATCCTTGGGGTCGTGACAGTTTTTAGTATCAGAGCACAGCTTCAAATTTTATGGGAAATCGAGCATGTGTGAGTTTTTACTGAGTTTTGTTGTTCTTTAAACAGTTTCGTGTCGGGACGTGTCGTACAATACTAGTTAATACATGATACAGTTGCACTTGAGAATTTGACGTTAGAATCTGTTTCATATTCCCAGAGCACTTTGATGGATGGAATCCATGTTTCTATGATTGATGTTTATCGATATGAAGATCGAGGATAAAGTTGACTTTGAAATTTTCAGGAAGTATTGATTTCGACGCGATGGTTTTTGATTTGTTTCCATAAGGGCTCTCGACTCTTGTCAGTTTCAAATTCAAAATCAATATTGACTTCAAAATTCTCATAAAGATTTCAGTTTTGAGATGATATTCGTTCTGACTTCCGCGTAGTTGAATTCTCGATATTGGTCCCTTCAACTTTTCGACACGTCTAGCATGAGGGTTTAAGTTGATGGAGAGCACGACTTGAAATCGAGCAGTTTTGATCATTAAAGTTTCCTTTCTCCTTGTTTGGTTCTTTCTGATTTGATCAATGCGCAAGTTTAGTGTTGCAATCTAGCTTTGTATCCTAGCTACTCGTTTCAATTCACTGATGCATTCTTTTATCTCTTGAGAATGTTTTTGCTCAAGAGTGTCTACTTCATGGGTTCTTATGTCGAAGAGACATCGTTCTTTCTTCAATTGATGACAATGGTGGCTATGGACTCCGTCGAGATTGATGTTTATCTCTGATATTAATTGTGTTCGACCTTGTTTGGAAGCGTAGTATGTCATAACCCACAGATTCCAGGATTCCAACTTTGAATTCTTTTCTTAATCTATTGTGACCGGGAGTTGGTCTCTTCGTTATTATTAGTGTATTGATTCGTGAAATTTTTCTATCATAGTCCTATGTCACTCAGAAATCGAAATTCTTCCTTGTCTCGAGTGCTAGTCTCGGTGATTTCCTCATTAATTTGAACCATGTCATTGTAAGACATTGACTATGGATATTAATCCTATACCATTCTCTGCCATTTTGCTTTTAGAATTCTAAATTCGAGCTCTAGTCTTGATCTGTTTTGAACTGGAGTTAGACTTTCTACTTAATAACCGTATTTTGATTCATATTATCTTTTTATCATGAATCAATGTTATTCTAAGATAACGACCGCTTCTTGTTCCGAATAGTAGTCTCGGTAATTTTGTTCCTAATACGGAAACATGTTATAGCGTTCGTTTTCTTTTAGTGTAAGGTGATTATTAGTGCGAGACTTGGCAATCTTGGCTTCGAAGATCCTCATTCAGTCATAGGGTTTTAAAGATTCGATGGTTATTTAATTTCATATCCATTCAATATTAAAAACCTACTGGTTCTTCTTTTAGAGTCAAATTTGACTATGTGAATTTCTTCGACTTTCTAGATTCTAAGTCGATGATTGATATTACTGTGTTCGATCATTCCCAGAATTGGGTGTCTCTATTCCAGCGGGTGAAAGTCTATGTTGTTGGTTGACTTCTAGCTAGAATTGATAATTTTCTGGATATGAGATTCCAAGATGACAAAGTGTTTCTGTGTCCCATTCTATAATTCTGAAATTCATAAAGACTTGAACGAGGCGAGTGGTCCTATCTTATTGAGATTGGAGTTCATTTCTTTCTCCTTGATTGGGTGTGACAATCGAAGTATACCATGCCAATGTCATAAGTCCGTTTTTCATGACAACGGAGGTGTTTTCTTCAATCGGTGTTTAGATGTCACAGCAAAACTGTAAGATGGATGTTCATCCCTATCTTGACACGTGTGAATCCACAAAAAAGGCGTAGGAAGTCCTAATTCATAGGTTTCAAGATGTCTATCATAGCGAATTGTCGTATTCGCCTCTTTTCCGTCATGTGGGTGACATTCTTGCTTTTGACTCATATTCCAAGTGGTGTTTTAAATGGAAGAACTTCTTTAGCAGTTGAGATTGAGTTTTCTCGGGCTGAATATGTTGGGTTCGACCTCCTGAGGAGATGTCTTGTCACTTTCATGTGGAATTAGAACGGATAGTTCTAATAATAAGTATGAATAACACTTTGGACGTTTTCTAAATCGGTGTCAAACCGTGGGTGTTGTATTAAAATCAACCTTGAAGTCATTTAGTCCACGTGATGGATTTCATGCAACTATAAGAATTTCCCTAGACGTGCCGTTCTGATTCTCTGTAACTTGTTTTTGAGGCCTTGTCGATTTCTGAGCCTTACGTGTACCATACCAAATCAAAGATCTACGTGTCTACTTTCTTATGGAGTTCATTTTGGAATTTTTGGAGACTTAGATGATAATTTAGGTATATTACTGTTAAGGTCGACGAATCTACCATTTTACTAGATTTATGAAGAACATGGATTCGAGTTAGGAACTGATTTATCACTGAACGATTGGAAGTTTGGAGCCTTTGTGGTTGTTTAACATTAAGTATGAGTTCTTTGAAATTTCTCGCTTGAATGTTATTATTTTGGACTTTAATCATACTTTCCTCACTTGATCCACATGATTTTGGGGAGAATTCTAGGTAAAATAGACTTTTCAAGCTTTGATAGGAGATTTGGATCGCCTAAAAAGGAGTTTTGTAGCTTAAGTTACGAATTTTTCAATTTGTTAGAAAAAGTGTTAAGGAACCTAACCTGGATAGGTTCGATACTGTTGAATTCTGGGAATCCTCATAGATGGATTTGAATGAATGGATTACATAATTAGAAACTAGACATTTGAAGCTTCGTATAGCCGCAAGAATCACCTCGAATGGATAACAATAGCTCAAATTATGCATTTTTGAAGTTAAGCTTGATTCTTAGAAATTCTGCAGAAAAATAATCACGTTTTGATCTGGTATAACATATTTTTGGAGATTTTAACCTATCCAAAACTAAGCTTATGATAGTTCTTTGAAAAACTCTAGATGTCTACTTCGATTAGGCGCT